AGACTCATAGCATTCATATTCGTATCAAATCTTTTACTCACTCAGGGTGGGGAGGTGGTTTTGAATCACTGGCAATGGCCAAGTTAGCAGACCTTGGTACCTGACTATATTTCCAGTCCAGAATGTTTTCTGTATATCAAGCTGATTACAAGTCTCCAGAAATTAGATTTTTCAACTGGGTCCAAACTGCTTCTCAGAGACAGAAAGTTACTAAATCACACATGTCAGAGGAGATTAAACCTGGAGGAGAGTGCTACAGAAAGCTCCTTAATACCTAATACATAAATCTGATTTGTCGCTTTTCCCATTATCCTGACTAAATTCAGTACAATTACCACCTAATCTGTTTCAGGGAATTCTATTGCACAAAGGAAATAAAGGGCAGTAGCCAGAATTTGGAAGGGAGGGAACCACCCGGATCCTCTATCAGGAAAACTCCAGCCACAATTGGATTGCACTTTGCTTCTGAAATCCTAAAACATTTCAATTTGGTAAAAATAAAGAGAGTACAATAAATTCTGTGCTTTGAGAGGTTTAAGAGCACCACTTTCTAGGAGAAACACACACATGCATATGAAGGACACATCCTGGCTAGAATAAAAGATAAAATGTCAGACTTGTGGATTTTTGTAATAAAAATTTGATACTGTTCTGTGCCAAAATACAAATCCCTAATTATTCTTTCTTGTTCATTATAGAGAGCAGTCTGAGCTACTGAGAAGACTGGGCTGAGATGAGGAGATCTGAGTTTTAGTTCTAGCTCTATCACTAGACCATCACTGTGGGTCTCAGCTTTCTCTTCTGTAAAATAGAGAAGACAGTTGCTTTACCAACTTCAGAAATACACAGATAAAGAGAAAATTTCACTGTGCTTCATTTTGTTTTGTGTATAACTGACTTCTTGCAGTGTTATGCTTTCTATGTTGTTTGTAATGATACTTAAGAGAGATGAGAGACTGTATCAGAATCTCCAGGGAGAATTTGTGCAATTTGAAAACAAAGGAGTGATTTTTCCCTTTGCTTTGCTCTGTTCTTAGTTCCTGTATTTAAATTTTTATGAATTATAAAATTAAATACATTAGGGCTTAAATTTTTTATATTTATAAAGGGCAGGTGGTATGCACTTTAAAAAAATGAAATTTTTTGCCACTATCAGCTCAAGCCCATTGGGCAACTGTCCTTTTACATAATTCTCCCTTGATTAAAGAACTACAGAAGCTGGGTGAGGTACAAGGAGGGTTTATTAAACTGTATGTTTAGGCTGGGCGTGGTGGCTCATGCCTGTAATCCCAGCACTTTGGGAGGCCGAGGCTGGCGGATCACCTGAAGTCAGGAGTTGGAGACCAGCCTGACCAGCATGGTAGACTCCATCTCAAAATACAAAATTAGCTGGGTGTGGTGGTGCATGCCTGTAATCCCAGCTACTGAGGAGGCTGAGGCAGGAGAATCACTTGAAACCGGGAGGCAGAGGTTGCAGTGAGCGGAGATCCCGCCACCACACTCCAGCCTGAGTAACAAGAGCGAAACTCCATCTTAAAAACAAAAAACAAAAAAAACTGTATATTTAAAACTTTCATGATAAAAAGTAAAGACACAGTATTCATTGCAAATGTGACCTTCCTAATGAAGCCTACCCTGATCATCACTTTTTCTTTTTTTTCCAGAGATGAGGTCTTGCTTTGTCATCCAGGCTGGAGTGCAGTGGTACAATCACAACTCACTGCAGCCACAAACTCCTGGGCTCAAGTGACCCTCCCACCTCGGCCTCTCAGGTAGCTGGGACTAATAGGGGCATGTTACTATGCCCGGCTTCATCACTCTTTTAAACATTATCCTTAAGAAAACAAACAAAAGATTTACCTTACCATAATCTACACTTTTCCATCCTACTTAACATTTTCTAACATAAATTACTTATGTTTATTGCCTTACTCCTCCTACTAGAATGTAAGCTTCATGAACATGAGGATTTTTAAGTCTACTTTGTTTGCTTCCCCAATGCCCAGAAGAAAATCTGGAGTATAGTCGTTGTTTAATACGCATTTTTCTGAAGGCATCAATGAAACAATAACATTTTCCAGCACAGTTTTCCTCTCTTTGAAGATTCAAGATCACTTCCGTCCACTTTAGGTTTTTAACTACCTGTAAGGAATTACACTACTAGCTTAAGGGGCAATGTCATGAGGGTCAATGTTGTGATTTCTAAGACCCTCATTTTTAGACAAACATGTTTCTAATCATAAAAGCTCTAATTTCCTCAGGAAAGTCTCCGTCTGCACTAGTTTCTAAAACAGCTAAGTGGGGCCCAGATTTTCTTGAACAAAATCTAAGTAAATGTGACCTACAAAAGAAAATGTTGTGTACACTACAAACAGGGTAAATAGTTCTCTTGGTGGTTGGAGTGGGGAAATCAATATTTTTGGAACCAAGAGTCCAAATTACAGAATCAGAGTTAGAAAGAACCTGGGCCAACCTCTTCATTTTACAGATGACAGTGCTAATAAGCAGAGACATGAAGACACTTGTCAAAGGGCATAATACTAGTTACCAGGAAAGCCAGGACTAGAACTTAGGTCTCCTAGTTCTCAGACCAGTGTTCTTTATGCTTAACAGGGAAGGATAAAGCTCAGAACAGTAAATACTATTTTAAACATTAGAGGACAGGAAACTCTGTGTTGGTAGGAGCATAACTGGCACAGGACTTAAGGGGAATTGAAACAAGAGGTCAGAAAACTGAAAATAGTCTATTGCTGTAGGTCAATGAACACTGTTACTAAAGGAAAGCTATGAAATTTATTAAGTTACTGAAAAAAAAAGGAAAGCATACTGAAAAAAAAGGAAAGCAGTCTTTACCTGAAAATGAAAACCCACTAGCAAAGGAAATCTCTTTCCAGGGTAACTTTTCCCAAGCTTTCTGAAATACTGTTTGAAAGAACAAACAAAAATATTTTTAAAAAAGTAAACAGGCCAGGTACAGTGACTCACACCTGTAATCCTAGCATTTTGGGAGGCTGAAGCAGGAGGATCACTTGAGCCCAGAAGTTTGAGGCCAGCCTGCTCAACAAAGTGAGAACACATCTCTACAAAAAATTAAAAAATAAAGAAAATTAGCCAAGCACAGTGGCGCATGCCTGTAGTCCCAGCTACTTGGGAGGCTGAGGTGGGAGGATTGCCTGAGTCCAGGAATTTGAGGCTGCAGTGAGCCATGAACGTACCACTGCACCCCAGCCTGGGCAACAGAGCAAGACCCTGTCTCTTAAAAAAAAAAAAAAAAAGTAAACAGAATACTCCCCCAAGTCCCCAAACCCCAAAACAGTAACTTTGGACTTCAGATTTGAAAAATCAGCAAATCAGAGCAGGAATGGGAATAACTTAGACCCAAATTAGTCTCTATGCCAGAAATGAAAACCAAGTTAAAAAATAATGGCCAGGTGCGGTCACTCACACCTGTAATCCCAGCACTTTAGGAGACTGAGGCGGGCAGATCACAAGGTCAGGAGTTAAAGACCAGCCTGACCGACATGGTGAAACCCCATCTCTACTAAAAATACAAAAATTAGCCGGGCATGGTGTCGGGCACCTGTAATCCCAGCTACTCGGGAGGCTAAGGCAGGAAAATCGCTTGAACCTGGGAGGCAGAGGTTGCAGTGAGCCGAGATAGCGCCACTGCACTCCAACCTGGGCAACAAGAGCGAGACTCTGTCTCAAAAAAAAAAAAAAAAAATTAGAGTAAAATTTACCTAGGGCCATGGGAAAGAGATATCACAAGCAATCACTTCACTTCCCCTGGGACTGCCAGATGTGATCCTGTACAGAAAATTAGGTATCAGGCCTTTTCATTCATAGATTTCTGAAACTGAATGCTGGGTCATCAAAAAGGAGGGGAGAACTTCATAGTAAGTGACTGTGAAATTATAAAGGGAATGACAGGGAAGGAAAATACAAAAAAGAAAAATCTATAATATACACTGAGTCCTATTTAAGATAATAAAAATTTTGTGCATGAATATAAAACACTAAATACAGGAAATGTTAATAAATCTTATTTCAAAATTGTCAATGCAAAACCAACTTACATTTTAGGTTTCATAACATCCAGTTCCCCCTTACCAAAATTTAAAACATCTCTGACTTTGAAGTCTCATAAATTTCAGTGAGGCAAAAAATTAAAACTTTATGCCACAGACATAAATCTAGTCTTTAAATGTGATCTCATAAACCAAGAGTTTAAATAGAATTCCTATTGGAGACATTGTATCATGAAACCAATGACATGGTTTTTTGACTGAAATATTTCAAAGTTGTTTCCTTTTTCATTTCCAGCATTCACAGACTACAAAGAAAAGAAAATATGCAAATAAATCTCATAACACAATACTCATACATTCCAAGTAATATTTACCATCTCAAGTCCTCAATTAAGATCTAGCTTTCAGATGCAATTCAATCCAATTTCTGATATTATGACAGTATTGAAAGAAATTAAATGATTTCAAAAACTGGCTTGATCATGTTTCAAAGAATCAAACATTTTTCTACCAGCTAAGTTGGAATGAGAAAAAATATATTATGGAGGGACTCTGTTCCTGATTTTCAGTAGTCCATGGTGGCTAGCTTCATCATTACGAACGATTACATACTTCCAAATCCAGACATTTAACTTAGGTCCTAGTATAAGAGTTGGATTTACCTCATTATACAAAAATAAATGATTTTTTCTTCTCAGGGTGAGAATAGTGACTATTTGAGTGTAGGATTAGAAGTTGGAGGTAAATATCCATCCCTCAAAATCAAAAAATAAAAATTCCAAGATTAAGATTTTAAAAGACCTGAAAGGTTGCATTTTAAAACAGTTGCCCTAAAAGTGTGAACTTTTTTTTTCTCAGTTTGTTTTTAAAATGGTGGCCCTAAATTAAAAAATAAAAACTAAGTAACACCACTATGTGTCTTATCACATTAGAAAACTGCACCATTTAAAATTTGTGGAAAATGAAAACTTGTTTCGACAAGAGGGTTTTTGTTTTAATAGTCATCAATGGTATTCTCAAAGAACACGTTTCGAACATCCAGAATGGATGCTAATTCCAAAATGTGCTTCTGGAGATGAGGATTCTCCACTGTTTCATCCCTTGGCAGTTGTGGATATGATTCTGGATAATTTCGTGTTTCCTGGTAGACAAAAAAGAGAAAAGTCAAGTTTTGCGGTCTAATGAAAGAAAATTTTACACATTGATACAGTGTCAAGAAGTAATATAATATGTATTTTCTCTTTTATATTGGAATGAATCTTATTGTTAATATATTTGTTGAATATTGAATTGCTGATATTTAACCATTTTGACCTTTAAAAATGACAATTTCAGATGGTTCAACATAATATATTCATTTAGTGAGTTATTCCACAAATGTTTACTGAGGCCTATTGTTGCTAGACACTATGCTCTATATCATGTGGAAACCATATAATTCATGCTACTGGGGGGAAAATCCTAACACATATAGAATTTCAACAAGTATATGTTAAATAAAAAGATATTGCTTTGGAAATTAAAATGAGGCTGGGGCGGCTGGGCACGGTGGCTCACGCCTGTAATCCCAGCACTTTGGGAGGCCAAAGTGGGCAGATCACGAGGTCAGGAGTTCGAGACCAGCCTGGCCAACATGCTGAAACCCCATCTATACTAAAATACAAAAATTAGCCAGGCATGGTGGTGGGCACCTATAATCTCAGCTACTCAGGAAGCTGAGGCAGGAGAATTCCTTGAACCCGGGAGGCAGAGGTTGCAGTGAGCTGAGATCACGCCATTGCACTCCAGCCCAGGCTTTTTGCCATGTTGGCCAGGCTGGTCTCGAACTCCTGACCTCATGTGATCTGCCTGCCTCAGCCTCTCAAAGTGTTAGGA